TACGCTGTATGGCATGCAGGCTGTATATCTGATCAAACCATTGAGCAGGAATGACGCTCTTTGAAATCTTCGAAGAAACAGCATGCACAATTGTGCTTAAAATTCTGTGAAATGTAGACACCTTGAGGTGATGCTGCTTCGGACTGTTGCTCAACATAAAGTTAAAAGAGACTATTAGAAAGTTCATGTCATCCTTCTTCTGTCTCATGCGGGACGGTGGGGTAGCCTAGTGATAAAAGCGTTCGCTCGTCACGCCGAAGGCCCAGGTTCGATTCCCCACGTGGGTACAATGTGTGAAGCGCATTTCTGGTGTTCTGGTGATATTGCTGAAATATTGCTAAAAACTCAACACACTCACTAACTCTCTGTGTTATACAGTCTCGTGCATGTATCTCGCTAGGAATTTGTATATACACATCGAAATATCAAACAGATAAGTTGATTTAACAGGTTGGTTCATTTCTTGCACCATTTAGATAAATCAGAGGAGTGAGTGAGTTTAGTTTTACGCCGCTTTTAGCAATACTCCAACAATATCACGACGGGTTAGGTGAAATGGGGTTTAAGGTCGTACTTAACAATATTTCGCTCATATGGCGACGTGCATGCGTGTGTATATATGTATGTGTGGCTGCTTGTACTAGCCAAGACTGAAGCTGGTTTTATTGTGCTAGCCCACTGAGATACCATGCCACAGTTAAGCATGAATACCCCACTCAGACACATTATACTGAATCCGAGCCGACCAGTTCTTGTTGTACCCATTAATGCCGAGCGCCCGGCAGGGACCAACAAGTACTTTATTTTAACGTCTTTTGGTATGACGCAGTCGGGGATCGAACCCGCGACCTTCCGCGTCTCCGGGCGGACGCTCTAACCAATACATCACGGAGGCGGTCCTATCACGAGAGAATTTTGTGGATTTCATCTTCTTTTTATTCTTATTTATTTATTCATTTATTTATTTATTTATCTTTTGTTTTTTTAATTTTAGAATAAAAGGAAGATGAAATCCATAAAATTGTCCATATTCATCAAATTGCGTCTTCTAAAATGCTAATAAAGCGTCCCTTCTGAGATTTCTATGGTCAGACTGGATACGTGACTAGTTGAGAAAGCTACCCTATTTTCAATGCATCATAGTGCGTCACGAAAAGACCATGTAGTCCTCTCAAAATGTTTGAATGTGTCACTGAGCGTTTTACTTTTTTCTTGAGTCAATAGGCTATAGAGAGTGTCACAGCCACTGAGACACTAAAATGGTGTGCCTAAATCCAGACGCCCTTTATCACACTCACATTTTTAACTACAGTCCAGGTTTGAATATATATTGACAGCGTGTAATAAAAGTTTTTTTGGGTTTATTCTATCAAACAGACAGGTTTTCGAGGGATTGGTAGGCATGTCTTGTCATGCAGTTACCTCACGCCACGTGTACAGTTTGCACTGCGGTACTTACGGCACGTGACATGAAAACAAACCAATCAGGAGACGGAGCAGAAATCTCTTTACAGGATGGTACATGCACAGATTTTGTTCAACGATGTGTTAAGTACGTGTTTTGTGTTATTGTCCGCAGAGACACTTCTAACAAATATGAAGCACATGAAGTGCAAAGAAACCTGTTGGGTTGTACTATAAACTTTTCAATAAACATGATTTCATTTTGAAGACACTCGTGAAGACCCGGGTTAAAATTGATCTTCAGTAAGCAACGCTTGAAGCAAGAAGCCACTAACGGGATCGGGTGGTCACATGGACTTGGTTGACACATGTCATAATAGTCAACTCCCACCCTCCAGAGATTCTTGTCAGTGTGGAACTAGACACAGAATGTATCAGGTTTCCTTAAACACACAAGGTTTACCCTGCTGTTGAAACAGTGTCCACATGTTCATAGACCAACTGCATGAGTATTAACCACATGGTTTAATGGACGGTGACAAGCACTGATGTTCAACATGATCAGGATATGCAGTATGGGTGATAAGGCCTGGTGTATCATATTACCTGATAATGATGTTCATTTATGATTACTCTTTCATGCTAACACTATACAATTACACCCCTTTCCTGATGGAATTTTAGAAAGTTGAAAGTTGCATTCCTAAATATGATGTACAAAAACCCCATGACCAGAACGCACATTTCAAAGCTGACACGCCCTAGCTAGTGTTCATTCTAACGAGCATTTATATTTATGGGTGTTTTACACTCACGAGAAATGTCGTCAGGCTATAACTGTCGACAGAAACCTCCCTCCCTCTGCCACAGCAGTGCCCCCCTGTCCTCCCCTACCCCTCCTGCCACAGCATAGTCCCACACACGCAAATGTGGGTCACCAGATCGCGTCTCTGCTAGCACTGTGAGAGGGAGAGTATTTTGCACAACACAATCCCAGATATAACATATGTTCTATTTACATGGAAGGTGCAATATTAGTCTCATGTGTTTTGGTGGTTGATTCATTCAATACAATCACAAACATATGGGATTTGGGTATAACATCTCAATATCATCCCTGATTCCTAAATTTATCGCATTACAAGGCAGGATACAATGACAATATGGATTGATATTCAAATATGGAATGTGAATACCGGTAAGTTTGAAATACATTTGAAATTCTATTGAGTTGGGTTGTTCTGGTGATGGTCAAGACAAACTCAAATCATTTTCATGTGGCAATGAACGCTGATTGCATTGAACAAATGTGTTATAAAACCCGTATAATTTCTTTTACACATATGAGTGCACATGTTTGACTAGACTAATGTTTAGTCTCTGAATGTATTATCTTGATAGTAACAAACAAACCTATTTAAATTGACAAGGAGCCCAAGGCAGACCTGGGGGAAATCTAGACTTCATTTAGAGCCTTAGCAGTGCAGGGAGGGCTAGGCTGTAGGCAAAATAATATGGGTCAGACACGTGAGACAGGCTAATGTTAGACCCACGATTTTGAGTACAACTTGAGGAGGTATCATATTACACCTCGGCTGAGTGAGACGAGGGAAGTGTGTGGAGGCTGCGACTGTTAATTCACCATGCCTCAACGGCGCGCGCTCTGAGATGACAGATTTTCTCCACAGGCCGCAGAAAAGGTTATTGAGTATAGAAAATATAAACATTTTGTAAGAAGACAAAATGATAACTTCAACTGACTGTCAGAGGGTTTTTTTAATAGGTAAAATTGAAACCGGATGAAACTAGTTTGTGGTCAGTGGTCCAGTCAGTCCGATAGTTGTTCTACGCTGATTGGTCTAAATTAATGGGATGATGTCATGGTGTGATGCTATGATGTGTTTCCCACGGGACGCGCGGTTATTGACCCCTCGGTCAGGGTGAGTCACACCGGAGTGAGTTTGCACACTCTTACACATGTAAATCTACATGACTACCCTGATGTCATTTTTTTTTCGGTTGCTATGCTCCTGATCTAAAAATACCGCTTGGAAAAGTTGTTTAATCCAAGGTCAACTCAGTACAAGGTCATTGACACCCTTGTGAAATGAGGTCAGCCAGGTGTTCGATGATGACGTCATAAAATCAAAATGGCGGATTTAGGGCCATTCCAGCCTGTGTACAACAAACGACCCTACATAACATACCCCGTCAGCACTTAATGCGTGTTAAAGCTCAGTCAAGGTATCAAAAAGTATTAATTTTAAATCATGTATCATCGAATTTAAACTAATTGCGTGTTTATATGAGCTAATAACCACTGTACAGATGAAGACTTCTTCTACTTTGCATATCTAACGCCACCAGTATATCATCTACTTCCAAAGTGATGTGTAATCGAAATCCGCGTTTAACAATCTCCTTATTGCGGTGTTGTTAAAGTGCTAAACGCGGTGTAAAATTACACTCTCTCACTACTGACTTAAATTATACGTGAGTATCAAAATCATTTTGTCTGCCACACACATGTGGCAAACAGTTTATGTTGCAACCTCACATACAGTGTTGCCGATAGCGACCTTTTCGTTGGTCTTTACGTGAATAATGGGCACAGCGTGTGAAGCCCATTTCTGATATCCCCTGTCGTGATATTGCTGGAATAGTGCCAAGAGCGGCGTAAAACCATACTCGCTCACTCACTCACTCACGTGAATGAAGTATTTTCTGTCAGGCAAGACGGGGAGGGCGGTAGTTCTTTCTTCAAACAAAAATCAACATACTGAATGTGGCATTGTTTTTGTTTGATATATACCATTCACAAATGGTACAAGATTTACAAGATTGATAAAATGCTAATGATAAAGCCAAGGAGGAAACAGATGATAAAGAGAAACTAAGGGAAAATGTGAACATTTATTCCATTCCTTTGAAAATGTTTCATCTGTATGGATATATATTACTTTTTCTCATATGCATTGGCATTGGCTAGCAGTATGCTCGCAAAATGGAACATCCCCTACTTTTTACTGGTATATGTGTGTGAAAGTTATGACCTTTCGTGTAACTCTAAAATATGTTTTTAATCACCCAGAGTATAATAATTAAGCAACAAACAGCATAAAAACAGACAAGTATTGTCACAGAAAAGCATGTTTCTTTGTATATCAGATTGCATTTGTGGCTGTGGCCGTGGTTGTTGTACCAGTAAACTTTATCGTTGCCTGTTCTAAAATAATCCTGAATATTGGTTCTGTAGTAAAGATGAGCAGTTTAAAGATTGTTACATACATTTTGAAAAGAAGTGTATTCAGTGATTACGTGTGGAGTTTCAAGCAAGGTGCAGTAATTGACCAGGCACCTGATCCCACTTAAACCAAACTTTATTACCCGAATTAATTTAAAGCAAGTGACCACGCCATTGACCAAAATAAATTAGCAGGCTCCAGTATTGACCAAGAGCCTTTCAGGACCCCCCGCCATTCTACTCGTTATTCATGCTGTCTGCCCTAAAGCACGTGGCGCGTGCATGTCACCAAAACATCTCATTAAATATGCAAAAGAACGTGGAATAGTCGTTTGGCTAACCATAGCTTGTGTGGGATCGCCCTGAATTGCACGTTAAGCACAGAGAGAGCTGACATACCTGGATCAGTATTCGTTGTACCTGAATTCATAAATACTGCCAATTTAATTACAGACGTACGCGAAGCCTAAAACTGACTGCTATTGACCCACGGTTCCAGTTCAGTGGAAGCGGTGAACTCGCACATCGCAGACATTCGGTGGAATAAATTCTATCGATCGGCGCCTCATCTTGTCTGCTGTGTGAAGGAAAGGCGGGAGAAGCCCGAGCAGACGGCAGCTCACAGCGGGGACAATGGCGTGGTTACTGCTTGCACTGGCTTTTGTTTGTGGAATATATGATGCGCGAGGTAGGTGCAGGTTTTATTCAAGTTAACATCAACACTTCGAAGTCACGGGCACACAAACGAGCCCACAATGCACCGGTGTCTTTCAGTTTACGCTTGCGTTGAGGAATAATTTGGGTTGGTTCTTTGCCAATCTCCTACAAGAAGATTGGTGATTTCGGAAGGACTGTCATAAATATGTGATCATTTGGTGGTGTGGAGCTAGGATAGGAACTCACAGTCTCATTTAGTATGGTAATCGCTATTGCCGTTACATTGAATTAGATGTCTGTATTAGAACATTGTCTATCATTTTGTATTGCCGTTTATACACAGTATGGTTAACATCGCGTGGTCAATACCATCTAGGTGTTAAGCATTTCACTGATCCGCATATGTTTCCATAGCTACACTATATACATTAATTGTGTTTGTTTCCTGCGTGATGTTTTTTCTGTGATACCACAGCTCGTGTAGTGTGTGTTATACAGAAGAGCTCAAGAAAACTTTTAAGAAAAAATTCCACTGAAAACGAATTAGAGTTGGGTTACTTTGTCACAAATCGATATTAACGCCGATTGCGGTGAGGCTCTCTGCTTTGTCAAAGAAACGTTAGACCTAAAATGTCGTCTGCTCCTCGATATCTGCAGGGTCGTGTTAGTCAATTGATGCACACCACCCCTAGTGCAGAAGTGGAAACAGGGTTATCAAAGTGGGTGTTTAATTCTTCCACAGGCACGAACAATGTTTGATATCCACTATTGATTGAGAGTGGTGTATTTACGTCCAGAGAGCCTGGGTGGTACATCAAAAATCGTAATACTTTCTGTGTGTAGCCCCGGATTGAGGAATGTCTGGGTGATGGTTCTGGAGACCTTACACACCCACTGTATGGAGCCCCAGATTGAGGGATATCAAGGTAGTAGCATCAAAGAGAGTACATATACCTTATGTTTGTCGTATGAGGGATATCGGGGTGGTAGCATCAGTCCAGCCCCCTCTTCCCTCCACACCTACCACGTCCCCATGACCCGCCCACACCTACTGCATCCTCACTACCCATTACCCGAATAAGATAAGCCCAGCTGCCCTCGCTCCACCTAGCCCATCCTCACCTCCTACCACGCCCCATCACCACACACACACACACACACACACACACACACACATGCACACACACACACCACCTCACCTATCCCGTCCTCACACCTGTCACTGTCCATCACTCTAACAAGCCCAGCTCCTCCCCGTCCGCCTACCAGGTTATGATGAATTGTTTACTTAACAAAGTTGTTTATACTATAAGTAAGTAACAACAACAACAACTTAAATAAGATGATCAAAGCTCAAAACTAATTAAGTGTTTATATAAGTATTTATATAAAAACTGTTACTTTTTTCCCCGTTACTTTTTATCATGTTTCGTTTTTCCCTGTTACTGTTTTTCCTACATTCGTCCCACCCACCCACACACACCAATTCCATCCTCACCTATCTCTACCCATACCCCAATCAGCCCAACATCATACACCAGACTATAGTCTGTCTCACAGTCGCTGAACCACACTATTTTCCCTACTGCCTTGCCCTCCCTGCAGTGCTAAAGCCCTAAATGAAGCAAGTCTAGATTTCTTAAGGTTCTGAATCTCCCATCACTGGGGCTCCTTTTCAATCAAAATGGGTTTATTTGTTACTGTCAAAATTATATACATATATTCAGGGACTAAGCGTTAGTCTAACCAGTGCCTGATTTGTCGATACGAACTTTAATATATCACTCATATTTCAAACTGAGTTTGACAATTTGAAACAGCTAAAGTTCTAACTCAACTGCATTTCTAAAATCAAAAGCCAATACAACTTAAGTAACCTATCCACCAAACTAAATTGTCTACAAGGTTTGAGTGTAATATCGATTTCGGTTCATTCTGGGAAATGCATTTTCTAGCGTTTTCTCAAATTTGAGTAAAAACTCTAACTTAAGTAAAAACTCAGACTTAAGTTTGTTTTCGAGAAATCGGGGCCAGAATAGTACAGTCAGATTTATACTTTTATGCGAAAGAAAATTGTTGGGAGAACGCGCCGACGGAAGTCCTTCTATCAGCGGAAATGGTGTGACGTAATTGTGTTTACACTTCAAAGGGGGCATGTAATGCAGTGGCGGACAGTGACAGACGTCACGCCGAGTTACAGACCCGAATCTGTGCCACATCGCCTCGGGGGGCCTCGCCGTCTAGCTAGTTGATGAACCATCTTCATTAGGCTGTATGTCAATCTGAAGTTGATACTCCTCTTCTGAGCGAAGGAGGGAGGGTGGCTGGTACGGCGGTGGGGAAGGGGTGTCCATTTTGGAGAGATGATTTGAACAGTGGGTCTTGGTGGGTGAATACTAGGTGGGGAAGGGTTGTAATCTTCAGATGAGTGGTCAGATTGGATGGTGCTGATGATGAATGAGAATATTGGCCTGTGGGAGAGCCGTGATGACTGTACGTAATTATATGTGCCTGGGTAGGAAAGACATCGACGAGGCTATGTATGATGGTTCGTTAGGGGATGACGGTCTGAATGGCAGCATCGGATGGTATAGGTGAGCGGTAACAGTCTGGTTGGGAGAAGACTCTGAACATATATAACCCTAAGAGAAACGAATAACTCCATTTAAATTGAAAAGGAAAGCCAGTGAGATGAGAGATTCTGACCTTCAATTTGCTCCATTTAAGACATGTACTTCCACTGCTGGGCGAAAGGAAACTCTGAATTGGTGGGAGCGGTGATCGGTATGGTGTGGGTGGGAGCGGTGATCGGTATGGTGTGGGTGGGAGCGGTGATCGGTAAGGTGTGAGTGATCGAGATGTGGGTGGGAGCGGTGATCGGTACAGTGTAGGTGGGAGCAGTGATCGGTATTCCAGCGGTGGATCGGTACGGTGTTAGGTGGGAGCGGTGATCGGTACGGTGTAGGTGGGAGCGGTGATCGGTACAGTGTAGGTGGGAGCGGTGATCGGTACGGTGTTGGTGGGAGCGGTGATCGGTACGGTGTAGGTGGGAGCGGTGATCGGTACAGTGGTGGGAGCGGTGATCGTGGGAGCGGTGATCAGTACGGTGTAGGTGGGAGTGGTGATCGGTACAGCGGTGGAGCGGTACGGTACAGTGTTGATCGGTAAGTGGTTAGAGCGGTGATCGGTACGGTGTAGGTGGGAGCGGTGTCGGAACGGTGTATGTGGGAGCGGTGATCGGTACAGTGTAGGTAGGGAGCGGTGATCGGTAAGGTGTGAGCGGTGATCGAGATGAGATGTGGGTGGGAGCGGTGATCGGTACAGTGTAGGTGGGAGCGGTGATCGGTACAGTGTAGGTGGGAGCGGTTATCGGTACGGTGTTGGTGGGAGCGGTGATCGGTACGGTGTAGGTGGGAGCGGTGATCGGTACGGTGAGGGTGGGAGCGGTGATCGGTACAGTGTAGGTGGGAGCGGTGATCGGTACGGTGTTAGTGGGAGCGGTGATCGGTACGGTGTAGGTGGGAGCGGTGATCGGAACGGTGTAGGTGGGAGCAGTGATCGGTACAGTGTAGGTAGGAGCGGTGATCGGTACAGTGTAGGTGGGAGCGGTGATCGGTACGGTGTGGGTGGGAGCGGTGATCGGTACAGTGTAGGTGGGAGCGGTGATCGGTACAGTGTAGGTGGGAGCGGTGATCGGTACAGTGTATTAGGACCGGTGATCGGTACGGTGTAGGTGGGAGCGGTGATCGGTACAGTGTAGGTGGGAGCGGTGATCGGTACAGTGTAGGTGGGAGCGGTGATCGGTACAGTGGCAAGTGGGTGGAGCGGTGATCGGTGGGGAGGGAGCGGTGGGCACATCGGTACGTGTGGAGCGGTGATCGGTACGATGTGGGTGGGAGCGGTGATCGGTACGGTGTGGTGGGAGTGATCGGTACAGGTATGTGGGTGGAGCGGTGATCGGTGGTGTAGGTGGGAGCGGTGATCGGTACGGTGTGGGTGGGAGCGGTGATCGGTACGGTGTAGGTGGGAGCGGTGGGTACGGTGTGGGTGGGAGCGGTGATCGGTACGGTGTAGGTGGGAGCGGTGTTCGGTACGGTGTATGTGGGAGCGGTGATCGGTACGGTGTAGGTGGGAGCGGTGATCGGTACAGTGTAGGTGGGAGCGGTGATCGGTACGGTGTAGGTGGGAGCGGTGATCGGTACAGTGTAGGTGGGAGCGGTGATCGGTACGGTGTGGATGGGAGCGGTGATCGGTACAGTGTATGTGGGAGCGGTGATCGGTACGATGTGGGTGGGAGCGGTGATCGGTACGATGTGGGTGGGAGCGGTGATCGGTACGGTGTAGATGGGAGCGGTGATCGGTACGGTGAGGGTGGGAGCGTTGATCGGTACGGTGTGGGTGGGAGCGGTGATCGGTACGGTGTGGGTGGGAGCGGTGTTCGGTACGGTGAGGGTGGGAGCGGTGATCGGTACGGTGTAGGTGGGAGCGGTGTTCGGTACAGTGTATGTGGGAGCGGTGATCGGTACGATGTTGGTGGGAGCGGTGATCGGTACGATGTTGGTGGGAGCGGTGATCGGTACGGTGTAGGTGGGAGCGGTGATCGGTACGGTGTGGGTGGGAGCGGTGATCGGTACAGTGTAGGTAGGAGCGGTGATCGGTACGGTGTAGGTGGGAGCGGTGAACGGTACGGGTGGGTGGGAGCGGTGTTCGGTACGGTGTGGGTGGGGGCTGTGTTCGGTATTGAGTGAGTGATAGAGGTGCGGGTGGGAGCGGTGATCGGTACGGTGTGAGTGATCTAGATCTGAGTGAGTGATCGAGGCCTGGGTGGGAGCGGTGATCGGTACGGGATGAGTGATCGAGGCCAGGATGGGAGCGGTGGTCAGTACGGGATGAGCATATGCACCAAAGATGAGGAGCATATTTTTGTGGGATGGGGACGAGGTATGGATATCCTGACAAATATGCAAATATACGAAGCCATTGCAGGTTCTGTAACATTCACCACGGTTTGCTCTGTAACAACAATCGGAA